GCTATGATGCCTGCTGCTAGAAACCACAAACCGACGTAAAAAATCATTATAATTGAAAATAGAGAAATATGAGCCCGAATGGTGGGGACATAATGTGTAAACATGCTAATAAATCGATCAACTATAAACGAATTAACTGGGATACTATTATCTTTTTATAGAAACCTACTTTTATTTCCTATTAAGTACAACACCCATTTCTATTACTAATTTTAAAAAAATTATTTATGACAAATTTTGTTATGTCTCTGGTTAAAAGAATATTTCTGGAAATAAAAATCGTTTATTTTACTGAAGTCTGTGAGCGGCTATTGATTTTGAACAAAGCTCACATCGCATAAATTTACAAGTGTTAGAGAAAAAACTTAGACAGGATGTTGGGGTATTTAATTTTTGAATTTAATAGATAAAAATACATTGTTTCTTTGCGTAACTATTCCTATTGTTCCTATTGTTCTCTTGCGTACCATCAGTGGTACTACCGGTTGTGAATCGCTGATATATGTAGAATTATATAGAGTTCAAAGAATTCTCTCTATGCGTTACAAGCACTCTCCGAACCAGATAATAAAAATCGATTGATTAAGAAAATAAAAGACTTTAAAGTTTAAAAAGGCTGAAGGAAAACATATTGTTAGATTACAGTGGGTGAAAGCACACAATGGAATTGTCAGAAACGAGAGGGCCGATACCCTCACTAAAATGGCGGCAATTGGGGATGAGACGGATAATTTTGATATCCAAGATTTAAGAAAAACGTTCATTACTGAAATAGAAAACTGAATTTATACAGAATGGAATATTTGCTGGGAGTCATCCAATATAAAATACAAGATTTAATGAAAATTATTAAATTAAATAAGAAGATGGATGTATTTTAAATAATATTGATATAAGTCAAATACTGACTAATTATGGGCATTTCCGGCTTTTTTTTAATAGGTTCCATCTATAGAATAATGATAAATACTCAATATGCGATAAGTTTGGGGTCGCCAGGCATTTCGTCGATGTACGCTTACCCGGAGAGCAAGAGAGAAATACAGAAAATATTTTAAGGAAGATGTTAAAAAGAACTATTCAAATTTGAGAGATATTGCAGAGCCAATAATGAAGATTATAAAATACGAACAAAGATAGAATTGAAATTCGGCCCTGGATTTGCCCTTTATATGTTTCTTTCTTTTATATGAAGAGCACGGCCAGACCGCTGGCTCTGCGTTTGTTGTTACACTGGCAAGTTTCAGTTTTTCATCATATGGTCAGTTTGTGCTGGCTAAGAAGACCGGGGCTGTGCCCTTGTGATAAAGATGATGCTGATAGAGTTCAAACGTGTAGCTAGTAACAGAACTATTGACTGGTAGGAGTTCAACCAAATCTTCTGTATTTCTTCTGAAGATATTTTTTTCCACTTGTGAAACCCTGTGCTACTTTTAGGATATGAATCCAAAGCTTTTAAAGCAACGAACATGTTGATCTTGCCGAGTGAGTTACACCAGTGCAGTAACTAGTAGGTTCATTAAAATTATTCTTCACTTATAAGTTTCATTACTGTTACGAAATGTGCAGGCGCGGTGAGATAGCTTTCCCGTAAAGCAGGTTTAGGGTTCCCATAAAATAGCAAAGGAAGGCAGGGTTGCCACATTTGGCGAGAAATCTCTCATTTGGAGACAAAATTGGCGCTATGCTATGGATGGATGGAGAACCTTCTGGAACTAATTCTTACCGGTTTAGCCCAGAATGTTCTCGAACACCAGCCAAAAGCTATATAAATCCTGCTGGTACGCGGAGAGTTAGTTAGTATCGAGTGTGCCTCATCTAGCGAGCTGTGCGGAGGTGATCGAGTTGACAGCCGGGCAGCGAGTGCTGAGTGGGTCATCGAGTGCACCGAAGGAGTCTCTTAGTGTATCGCGGTTAGTACATCGCCGAGAGAGCGTGTTGAGCTCCGGGATTGACTGAACCGAAGAGTCGGAAGCTGTGCTCTGGTGCTTTGCAATGAAGTTGTCTCCACCGTTATTGCCTGACAGTGTAAAGGCTGTGTCGCTGATTGTTCCAGCGTGTTTATAGTAGATCTTCGACGACTGTAAAAAGTGTTATTGGAGCTGTCCTCATTAATATTGGCTGAATAAAGTGTGTTTCGATACTTCATCAAGTATCGTGGTTATTCACTCCAATTCTACAAACACCGCACGAACGTGAAAGAAGGAAATAACGTAACAACTGGTGTCAGAGAAAGACGTAACATTATTATTTCTTTCCTAAAATGCAGTAACAATTGTTACTGCACTCCATACAGGAAGATGAGCTGTTGTAGCTAATATTTTTGTTAATATTTACTTAATGTACATGTATAAAACATTTTTAGTTATTAAAACACTCTCTGTATGCGCTCCGCGTGATTGAGTGGGCCATCATAAAACAGCTATACATATATGTAGGTAAAAATAACTAAAACTAAGAGTATATTAATTTACAATGCAAATTTTGACAATTAACTTACGCAAACCTGGGCACAAATCACCAACAGTTGGAGTTACGTTTACGAACAAAATATCGACTTCTAGCCAAACAGAGAAAGGCAAATACTAGAGCAGGAACACTAATTTAAAAAAAAAAAAAATTACTCTTTGAAGAAGATTTCTATTTACTTCTTTCTTTAAAAACCGATAGAGGGTTTGACTAAATATTAGGAAAACGCATTAAGGTTTATTTTGTCTAATTTCAAATTTGTATATCCTTATAATATTGATCTTCTTGTCTAATTACCATTTTAAAAGCATATTATAAGTAATAAAATATACTAGTTTAATAATACAAGGAACAAATCCAATTAGTTTATTCATTGTTGATAGATATTATCATCCGAATTAAGTTTTAAAATTTACTTCTATATGTATTAAAACTGAGACGATTTCTGGCTTCTGATAGCTCATCGATTTAAAAGGCTCTTTAATGACCTGGAAGTCCTGTTTATCCATATATAATGGGCGTTAATTGAAGAAGAATTAGCCAGGCACCGAACGCATCCGTAACAGCAGATGCGTTCGGTAATGAAATCTAAGAATTTCATTTATTATTTTAATACAAAGTATTAGCTCAACATTTATTAATTTGACAGTTCTTTTATTTGGAATTTCCATTTGCATGCATTAGCTACAATTTTAGATCAATTCATGACTCAACATTTTGCAGCTTAACACGTAACATAAAACGGCTTTAACTGAAGTTTAATTTTCAGGCTTTGCTTTATATTTGAATAATTCGACTGAATATTGTATAAGTTCAAGATAAATAACGGTTACAATATACTAAATTATGTAAGCTATGAAGTCTCTCACAATATTTTATCAGGCGAGAGATAAGTTTCTGCAAACTCAGTAAAATGGTCGGTTCAGAATTTCGTTCTTCTCTGTGAAATCTTTTCACTATATTTTACTGATTTTCACGTAAAATCAGTAAAACCTGCGTTGCAAACTCTCAGATGAATTATAAATGTATGTGAATAGCGTCTAACGTAGGTGAAATTGGATTGAAAACACGTGTAGAAGCTGGTTTTTGCTTTGTAAAACAATTTAAGAAAATCTTACAGTGAGGCCGAGTTATATTTGGACCAATACGGCAAATCGGACAAGGTCTCCATACATTATAAAGCTGAATCACATATAAATTTACTATAAGAAATAGACACACTGAGAAATATTTTTATGCAAAATCAGAGACAAAAGCTAAAGTGCGTTAAAACAGTTTATGAATCATCTGAAAACTGCAGAAACATTTGAAAGTTTTGCGAAAAAGTATTCTCTAGAGCATAAAGTAATTGTGGTATGCGCTACCTAGTTTAAAGCCTTTGTTTTGTGCAAGATGTTCACTTAAATTCCTTTTAATAAATGAAAAGTTAAGCGTTTATTTTCCTTAAACTCTGAAAAGGATTAGAATGAAAATTATATTTAACATCCATAAAAACGTCCGCGAACTGTAGGTAGAAAATGGGAATCACTTTAATGACATTCGGAACAAAACTTTAGTTTTCGTAAGGAGCCTTATATCACCATCTAAAATAATTACCCAGCTTGATGAGATAACCGAGATCAACAGTGGAAATACTGGGTAAAAATTAATTTAAGATTTTCACATTATGTTTGATTAGCAATGAAATATTTGTTGTACTAATATAATCAACACGAACATAATTACACTGAAGTTGTATTAAAATTACAAAAAGGCAAATAAAAATAAATATAAGAGACAAAATGATTTCTAGAAAGGAAATGCATAGGGATTTTATTTTAAGATATTCAAATGTGCATTACGTACTTTTAAGAAATTAAAAAAATTTTAGATTTTATTACGCTCAAAGGGGTCTCTTTTAACGTTTTGTGTGTTACCTTTATTTATTAAATATCATGTTCCTCGCACTTAAACATAAAATTCAGTTCAACAGCAATATTGCAAAATAATTTAAAAAGAGCATATCTTTAGAATTTCCGATATACAGTCTCGCGCGCTGGAGATCAAAATGTTTTGTTTCCTTACAGTGTTGACATTGCTCGCTTTGAAATTGTTAAGCTTGTTAATCAAAAATTCTTTAATTTTTGAAAAAAATATGAAATAGATAATAAAAGAAATTCAAAATTCAAAATAAGGGCTTCCAGATGCCAATATTCGGTGGAGGATTACATTATTAAAAATTTGATGGAGCCAGGTATCGTTGTTTTATCACAATGCGAGAAATAAATATATATAAATTTACGCAGATTCTTCATTATTTAATTTCTTTAAATATAACACAGGGTGATAATATTTGGTGGCAACAAATTAAAAAGGGAAACGGGCATTCGATGGTTTCAACACAAAATGCCAAAATGAAATTAATAGCCCTTCTGGGATAACGCACCTTGGGCTAAAAGCATTTTATTCACTGTTATCCAGCAAATTGTATTTAGTTAAAAATGTAAGAATAAAAGTAATTTTTGAGACTAGAGTTTTAGTTAACACTCTGCTTTTAATATATGATTCTCAGAATAAACTTTCATATACAAAAGAAATGAAAATAACTTCCCATGCTATGTTATCTTTCCTTTTATAAATACAAAAATTACTTCCTGTAGTGAAACATTCAATAGCATCTTTAATCAATTATTTTTCTATTACAGAAAATTCGAATAGGAGGCGTTTGATTTTATTGCAGATATTAACAATCTGAGTTGGTTTAAATCACGATTCTTCAAAATCGCAAAATATTTACATAAAATCACAGAAAACAATTAGAGTTATAAGAAATTTATTTCCTTTTTTCACTTTTGTTTATCATGCTTAAGAAGTAAAACTCTGGTTGCTTATTTTTCATTAATCCTTAAATGCCTTTTTAGCACATGACGTAAAACAATACTTCAAAGACAAAACAAAGCTAAACAGTTTTCTAAAGTATTAAACAAAGTATAAATTCTAGATGTGCCGGTATAATTAAAGGCACTGAGGTATTTTCCAAGTTTGCTTTTAGTATAATTTATCGGTTAGTGTAATATCGTAAAATATTTCATTTTTAATTTTAAGTTTCCTTGGTCGGTGTACGAAAATACTTTTGGACTATTAGTGGAAAAGTAACCCTTTTAAACTTAGATGTGATGGATCAATTATATTTTAATTTTCAGATTAACAAAGCGAAATTCTTTTACATTCATAATTACCTACAGAGAAAAGATATGCTTTTTTGACTATTGCTATCAAGCATATAAACAGAAGGAATATGTACATTGCGGGAGAATAGCATTTATATTAATTTTTATTTCAATGTTCATTCTTTCAATGTTCATTCAGAACTCATACGCAGATGTTCCCAAAGTTTGCGTTCGCTCGGCAGGCGGTATTTTAGCAGCCCAGTTACCTTTATTCCACCGTGTTAGGAACAAGTGTCTTTAAATTGACGACTCATTGAACAATAAATAATAAAGTTGACTGAACTATTCACTAGAGCTAAAATGTCCATTGTGTCTCCAAAATTCAAGTATACATTATTGACAAATTCATCACCCAAAGCACCACTTAAAAGGGCGAGCATCCCAGATGGGAATTCTGTGACAAGGAATAGAAAAAGCACAGCTAACAGCACTTCTGTGGTATTGTCATGACTTTTGTCACATTCAGACCTTACCTTCAGCCTCTGCCTACTGTCGTTTGCTTCATAAAGAACTCTGATGAGTCCAAGACTCAATCCTGTAAGAGCGACGCATGGCACTAGCTTTGTAATCACACTAAACATCCAAAAATTGATTTTAGCTAGAAGTCCATTATGTCGCCTTGCTATCTCACTGAAATCTACTGTATAAAGAGTATTGTCATTGTTGTCCGAATAAGATGCCACAGTAAAGGTCAAGTATACGGGAATGCAGAGGACTGTACATGCAGTATAGGTAGATGCTATTGCCATACGTGCCCTCACAAAACCTCTCTATCTCATAGTGCGCGCTGGATAACATACTGCCATGAATCTCCATGTAAAGTAACTGTCAACCATATAGATATAGTGTGATTTATCACAGTAAAATGTGCGTGAAAGAGAGTGAATACAGCCCAAGCAAAAGAAAATTTATCCTCTTCTTATAAACTCGTTCTCAAATAATTGTGGAAGCTGAAAGGGACGTAGGAGAACATCACCATCATATCAGCTACCGCCAGTCCAGTGAGAGTAGCTTTGGTTGGCGGGATCATGTTCTTCTTTGTAAGGACAATTATGTTCATTACATTCACCGTTATGCCAAACGAGCAGACAGTTAAACTTATGTAGCCGTGTAATGGGAGAATAACATTTTCTGTAGATTTCTAGTTGGTTTCCGTAATATGGCCGAAATTGAAGTTGCGGAATCTCTGTTGCCAGGGAAGAGTTTTCTAATGAATAAGGGTCTGTGTCAATGGAGAGAAATATCCCTTGAGCCCAAGGAGTAAGGAACTCTTCAGAACTCTCTGGAGACTCCAAACTATGATTCATGGCTTCTTTTCAGGAGAAATCTATTTACTTCCGAATCTTTCAAAGAGCATTCATTACTGGCACAGCATCTGAAATGAAACAGAGAAAGGTTGGTCAGACAGATTTGGCAAAATTTTATCTATTTTATTGCTAGATTTGCGAAAAAGTTTTGATTAAGTATTTAATAAGAAAAATTTCAACAACGGTAAATGTATCTGATTTACTAGTGATAACACTTCTTGAATTTGTTTGGAAAATATATGATTATATTATTTCACTGAATTATTCAGTTATCTCAATTAAGATACATATTACTTCTGAAACCTTTCTTATAATTTTAAAGTGAATGTGTGTAAATGATTTATTAAATTCTTTGAATTATTATTTCGAAAAATTTATTTACGTGTGAAATTAAAAATAAAAAAATTGTAAAAATAATTTTTACACATTATATTAAATAGCTTTGTAGGATTGCGATAAAACTTTTGCTTCGGCCCAAAATACGTGATCATTTTGTAGAAAAATATTTCTACATTCTTCATAGGATTTAAAGGTGAAATTTAGTTCTTGTAGGTATTACGAAAAATCGTTGTTTAAGATAGAAACTGTTGCAGACTTCATAAACAATCGCTCAGATTTTTCAGTTTGTTTTATACCAATACAGGTAACAACCATTAACAACCATTTTATGAATTCTGGGGAAGTCATAAATTGATGAGTTTAGTTAGACTGTTATGTCCTCTAGTTATTTGGTCACACAGCAAGCGTAAAAATCAAGTACATTTTTATGCGGTGGATCTAAAATAGTTTTTAATGTTCTATTGAGTTTAAAACAAAGCAGTTTTATTGCTGTATCGTGTATTAAACGGAACAGAACAGGCAATAAACACTTCAAGTGATATAGCATGCGCTGTGGTACTCAAAAACGTAATCATGGTTCAGCATTTCTGTGGAGGTGCTAATTCAAAGATGATGCTGTGCGAATGATCAGAGGACGTTCTGCAGATGAATTACGGAAATTATATTGCCATTCCATAACCACACAGTGACCAATGTCTGATATATGCATACAACTTTAAAACTTATTTACTTGAAGCTATGGGAAGAAAAACATGATGTGTTCAAGAAATAATGATTTTTTTCTCCTGTATACTGTCTTAATCTACGTTACTGCAGTGGCATTGAAAAAGTTGGTTGAAGTCTATAGGTAAGAACTAAAATGCCTTGGTATAGCGCAGGGATTTTCAAGATTGAAAAATGTCTCTTACGAAACATATTCTTTTTTGATGAAGAAGTGATGTGGTAGTTGCTCCGTTTTGGCGACTATGGATTACGGAAAGGATAATCTACCGTCGTAGAAGCTCAGGGAACGCAAATGAGCGCGAGGATCACGCAGACATAAGAGCGGCCACTACCGTACCAACAATGTCGCTAGAATCAATTCCACTCCAATTACCACCTTCTAAGCATCCAGTGGTATAAAGGAAAACCATTCAAAGACGACTGGCCGACGCAGGCATATGCTGTCGACGTTCTTTAAGACTTTTACCACTGATCCCGTATCATAGTCAGTGTCGACTGTATTTCTGCCGAACTCGGGTAAGCTGCAGTGTGACCGGCTGGAGACATGTGATTTTCAGCGATGAATCCTGATCCAGTCTCAGTACTGATGACTCATGTACGCGCCTGTAAGGGCGGCCAGACCAGCGGTTCGATCCGATACACGATCGCCTATGTTCGTTTTTTCAAGGCGCTATGACGGCTCGCAGTTACATGGACGACATTTTAATCCCGGTGGCACTGTGTATGCTATTAAGTCATCCAAGTGCCATTTATCGGCAAGACAATGCTCGTCTACATACTGCGCGATTCTCCCAAGAATACTTTCAAGGATATGATGTACTCCCATTGCCTGCCAGGTCACGAGATTTCTTGGCAACAGAGCACATTTGGGACCTGCTTAGAAAGCAACTGCAACCGTCCCGGATTTACGGTGAATTAACTGCTCTGTTGCAAAGATTATGGCATTATCTTCTGCAGGGGGTCATAAGTGATCCAACTGATATGATACTACGCCATGTTTCGACTTGTGTAGCTGCCAGAGGTCGCTATATTGCTTATCGATTTGTAAACTTTTTCATGCCATAACTTCTTAATAAAACGAATCATTTGTTTATCTCTTCATATACTACATACATGTTTCGTGATAGTAGTTCGTTTCCTTCTTGGTGCATACATTTTTTTGTGACAAAGTGTATTTTCTATACTTTATGTATATTTTAAAATAAAAACACGGCATGCAATATCAGTAAAAATAATAAAATGCAATGTTTATTGGCATTCCTATTTTATGATTATTGCGATACTTATACACCTTTTCTTCGCGTAAACAATGTTTCTGTAAATTGTATAACAATTGTAATTTAGAATGTAGGCCAGGGAATACCAAACGTTTGTATAACGCGGCAACCTGTATGTGGAAATTATCGCTACAGCAGCTTAGTTGACATATGGCTGTAAAACATTTCTAATAAAGCAGCATATGTAAGGAGGTGTACAACATGAGAATTGAACGTGTATATTTTTATAATGCTTTTGCCTGCAGAAAGTAATAACTGATTTATACATACGCCATGGCACTGTTTATCCCCTGTATATATTCAGGTAGTAAAAAAAATTAAAATCTGCTCGCGAGACCCATTTCAGAAGCCTTTGATTTAGATTTTTCTGCGATGGCCTGTTTGATAGTGGGCAATTTTGCGGGGCTATTTTGTCTTGGGTTATTTTGACGGGGTACCAACTAGCCTTATGGATATCTAATAATGTGATTGCATTTTGTGATTTTGCTTTGCTGTTTTAGTAGCTTTCTTAACCATTCTTAAAAATGATTTTTTCAATCATTTCTTATATGTATGTTAATATTCCTTTTATTTTGATAAAATTAAAATTTTAGTTTCATTAAATTGTAGAGGCAAATGATTTTTTTTTTTTTTTTTTGAATGCTGGGGCCGTGAAAAATGAGCAATGCCCTAGCCGGGACTTGAACCTCGAGCTCTCGAATAAGCGCGGAGTGTGCTGCCACTACGCCTCGAAGGAATGCAGAAAATAGGGAGAAAATACCTTATAAACTCCCCCTTTTAAATGGCTACTAGTGTTTAGAGGACCCAAACGCCAAATCCTGGTGGTGAAGAACCATCATCCACCAGCTCTTATTTCGGGCGCCACTGTAGAGTCATTGGGATTTTTTGAAGCAAGAGTAAATGAAAAATGAGCAATGCGCTCTCCAGGATTCGAACCTGGACCTCTCGAATATGCGCTGAGTGTGCTACCGTTACACTACGAAGGCAGACAGAAAGTAGGGATAAAATACCTTATAAAATGTTTCTTTTCACGTTAAAAACAAACTATCCTGAATCTTAGGATTCTTTACTCCTATTCAGAATATTGTAAAATTATTACATAAAATGCTAGTATTCTTTAAATGAAAAAAAATAACTAACTACAAAGAGAAAAAAAAATTCCTTTGGAATTGAAGCTGTGTGTTATCTTCTTCTGTTATAGTATGTAGTACAAAACAAATGCTAATTTCTTTATATTAATGTGAAAAGGAACAAATGAAAACGAAAATAAAGCATTTCCTTTGGCGATAAGGAGCACTAATAAAAATAAAGGAAATACATTTGTAAACCTGTGACGCCTCAGTGTTTCCAGCATATGAAATTAGCTCAATAATTATTTTCTAAGATGAAGGAAAAATTTATGAAAAAATTACTTTAATTATAAGCTATGACGTAATGTACTTAGTTCTGAAAAGCGTCATGAAACTAGAGGAAGTTCTTTAATAAAATAACTTTTTGAAAAGGAGTAAGAATAATTTGGACAGTAAAACGCAATTCTTGTAAATAACATCATATGAAAATCAAAACACTAAGGAAAAGAAAGATTAATCGTAAAAACTATAAAGTTACAAATAAATCCAAGATAACACACATATTAGATATATATGTTGGACAAATGCTCTTTTATCGAAGGAATCGCATTAAATGAACTAAATAGGGTTGTTTAGTTAGTTTTTGAACGCACGTTACAGATTCCTGTGCTCAGAAACATGCATTTTAAATTGAATAAGATAATTAAATACCTACTTCAGTTTCATGCACGTCATACAGAAGCTGTTCTCACATTTTTCGGCGATTTTGCTTTGCTGGAAAAAAAAATTCAACTCCTTGGAATGTTTTCTAACCGCAACTATATTTTTGAAAGTATAAATTACCGTCTGCTACTTGAAAGTTGTTGCTTTCATGCAAAATATCGCTTTTAAAGAAGCAGCGGTTGGAAGGTTGTGTTCGTGTTCTTTTCGAAAAAAATTACTTGCAGCTAGTTATTAAAAAACCTTCTGGAAGCCGTGGTTTTTCGATATCTAAAACTGCCATTGGTAATGTTGTCAACAACAAAGAAAGAAAAGTCAAAATTTAGCTTGAAGTGGAAAAATTGTTTTAAATGTTTTCCCAAGGAAAAAAAAAAAATCTGATGTGCACACCACATGACTTCCTTGTACGGAATATTAAATTATACGCATTTTTTCTTGCATTTCATTTAAACTTATTAGATTGAATTCAACCTACTTCGCCGACAGCGCATAAACAACAATAGAATAAATGCATTGTTTAAAATTCCCTTTGTTTACCATAGCGACACTCTGGCGCTAGGTTCATTTAACAGTATTATACTATTTCGTTCATATTATAACTCACAATGCACAAAATTTATATCATTTAAAGAATTATCTAATCGTTGCCACATGTTCTATTCAAATACTATAATAAAGCTAGAACGATGTATAAATAAAATTAAGCAAACAAAACAAAAAAGGAACAGTTTTTCACAGGACGATTGAGTATTTCTCATTCAATTAATTCAGTTTTCACTTCGCGACAAGGCAAAAAATACATAAAAACTCAAAATATCTGTATTAAAAAATACAAAGTAAATCTTAAACGCTTATTTCCTCGAAAAAATTCCAGAAAGGATTAAGCATGATTTAAATAATAAAAATGAAGGCGTTATCTTTGTTGTTGCGAAGCT